AAAACCAATGTGTAAACGAACGGCTACGGAACTGCAATCCAACATAACCGACTAACACGGACGAAAATGACCTTTGAGCGTCTCACTCCATCAATGACCTTGAGCATGCGGGATAATTTCAGCCTGGCTATGTCAGTTCTGTATCCACCTGTCCATCTTGACCTTGACCTCAATTACCGTAAACCAATTTGGCTAGCAATCACCTCTCACCACAACATGACTAATATTTGATACATAAACCTTGACCTCAATTACTGTCAACCACTTGGCTAGTAGACAGCTCTCACCACAGTTTTACACACTTGTACATGCTTCCTGATTACAATTTGAGATACCAAACAAATCACATATTGCTATCTGGCTAATTTCAGTCTTCAAAGGATATTAAGAGTGGTGAAATTGGACGTCCTGGATCTGTGCAAATTACAAACTGCCAGTCTGAATAATAACCGGCGTAATTTAAACAGCCCAAGTGAATGGAGCAGGAAGTGGCAACTGACTTTCGATTCAGATAATTGCGACATGGCTTACTCTGGACATTGGAAGACTCGACCATGCCTGTACACGTTTGGTAATCTCGCCTCAAGCCTGAACACAGTCACAGATCTTGGGATAACACATTCAAATCTAACATTTTCGGATCACGTATATACGGTATTATCTGGCTGTAAAGGGCTTGCTGACTTCGTCCCGTACAAACTTTACGCCAAAAAGTAGTATGTTGACGGAAGTATTTGACTGAAATTAAAAGCTTATGGTTAAGGAGAGTGAACCGCTTTTACGCTGCGTCTCGTGTATTTTACATAGTATACACCAACCTCTAAAGACGACTTCCCTAAGGATATTGGCTGCCCTTACATTTTATCTGTCGTTGGATCAAGAGTTTCCCGTTTTAATTTGCCGTCGCCTGGTGACTTTAGACCTGAATTCGATTAGAATTATAGTGCTACGTGAAAAACAGTTGCTCTGAATCTCTATTTGACCATTTTCAGCAGACGGGAGTAAACAATGTAGGTAGCAAATCTTTACGAAACAAAGTTGGGGCTATTTGCTTAACAATTTGGACAGGATAGTAATACTGCTGTTTGAAAACCTGCTTTATTGTCCATCTCTACCACTGAAGTTCCTGTATCAGACTTTAAGGTGTTTCATGTCTTATGCTACTTGTGATATACAGTGGTTTTCAGCTGCAAACTGCTGCTGATATCTACAGCACATTTTCCAAAGCACTGGTACATCTTTTTGCACAGTGTCTTTGCAGATTAGACTGGGCTGAGTGCATTCTGCTAATCTCTTGCAGCGTTATGCTTTGAAGGTCTAATTAAAATGGGACTCATGGACACATTGGGAAAATATGCCACTACTGAAGGCATCAGTGGTACATCCATGCCCACCAACTTCCGGACATCAAGGCTTAACGTACAACAATAATTCTTTCATGTTAGGAATTGCTTGTTCTGTGGATTTTCTTTTGTTGTTGCTGGTGCAATGGTTTTTTCGCACTAAGGAATAACAATATGATATTTCCCATTTGACCATCTTAGGCTTCTATCACAGGCCTCGGAGTTTAATTTAACACATGGAAATGCGAACCTAATGACTGGAAAGTAGGTTAAATATGGTAAAGCTGGGGAAGAAACCACTTGAGGAAGTGTTTAGAGTGAGGTACGAATGCAACGTCGATGAAGCGGGATTCGACCTGGTCCTGACAGGTGAACAGACAATTCAATTACCTTTGGGGACCCCTACAACATGCAAGGGAAGCAAGGAAGGCAATAGTCAAAGGAGGTATTTTTATGACATCCTGGAGCGTGCCTTACTGTCATGGCAGAAAATTAAACTGTTGGCACAACGTGATAATAAGATGTCAAGTTATGCTTGCAGTTAACGTTCTCACGAATTCGGACTTGCGATGATATTTTGTATCCTGCAGAGCATCACAAAATATAGGAACTTTGTATGCCAGACAAAAAGAAGGAGAAAAACCTATTACTTCTGTGGGTTTTGTAATTAATTATGTGAAGGAACGTCCATGTTCACTTCCGGGTATATATGTATATATATACATTGATAATTAGTACTCCGCGTTTTTGCTTGATAAGGTCATCGTAATTCAATATCACAGCATTCGTTGAATGCGCTGGCTACCAATCACACGCTGTATGGCCACCAGGGAGTCTACCTATGTAAAAGCAGGGAATTAAATCTATATTTCACGGGCAATAAATTAGCTATAAACATGAAATGGACTGAGACGCTATGATGGATGTAAAAAATGGACTCTAAAACAACAACTTAATAGGACGAAAAAATAGACATTAGGGTCAACTTGTCAGTCAAGAGGGAAGCTTGGTTAACCACTCGGAACAACATTTACCATGTAATGCTGTTCAATAGAGAGAAGAAAAATTTGAAACCCGGAAGAAGTTGTGGCTCCTATTTGGTTACGTGTATATTATTTCTACACTACTTGAACATAAACTACTTACTGAGCAACCTTGGCGTCTCTACTAATTCAAGTGTGTCGTGGAAACCCTTCCGAAACATATGCTGTTTCGCGTGAAGCAGGTGTTGAGCTTCGCTTTCTACTCATTGTGGACTGAGACAAATTATACTGACATTAGCTGAATCATCAGTATAACCCTCGTTATGTATTGATGCGGTCACTTTCGAGATATGGTCACATCGGAGAAAACATTGTTGAGACTGGTTTTGATAATAAAATATTATCGGAGATTTAGACGCCCATAATTTGTGTATTGTGAAATTGACTGGCTGTTCAACCCTAAAAAACTTATTAGTTTGGTGTGTAGTCGTAGGAGGTCAGCGAACACTCAGCACGATAAGCGGCTTCAGCGTCTGAGTTATTCTGTAGGTTTGAATCCCCTGCCTTTATAGCAGGATCTGGACATTTAGTGGGCGAGAGCATGAATACGACATCATCATTTGTCTAAATATAGACTTGTGGGATATCAGACCCGTACAACGAAACTTCCGTCGTTAATAGATAAATAAATGTCATTTTCGGATTTGAATGCTGTGTTTTGATTTCAAAAACACATACAATGTCATTATATGGAACCTTTTGCTGCTTATGACTGACCGTATGAATTTTTAAAGTAAAGTGTGACTTGGCTCAATAAATACTGACAATACTTTGCATAAACCATGCCATCTGTTTGCATAATGAAGTTCTACCTCACTACCATAATGCAAACTAAGCCTTTTCCTACTGGAGAATCAAGAAATAAGCGCAGACTGTCGGGGTAACATTTATAGGTCTTTACCCTCTGCTATACTTTGTGAATAGAACGCGTTATGATAACAAGAGGGATCTGTATTATCAGCCAGCAGAAGTTTATGTGGAATTTCATCCCCATTTAATGCGTGTATGAGCTCCTTGAAGTGACGCACTAACAGCCAAAGTTATTCACAGATACAGTTTAACAGAAGTCTCGGAGTAATTCAGTTACAGAATTGGGGGGCAGTATGAAAATACAAAACAGTCCTAAAGTGCACATCCAAATTTCAATTATGTCTTGCAATTTTATATACCTATTCACATATGTTTTGATTCATGAATATCTGTTTTACTATAGTTCGCGTTATTGCCACTCTCTTTGGAAACCTTACATTTAAACCTGAAATCGAAAGTTATTATGAGAACTGGCTTTTAATTATTATGTACTGATTTTTAAACCCCTACCACCATTCTAAATTAAATTACCAGGTGTTTACTTCCGCATCAGTAAAGTGGAAGAAACTAGTTGGTATCACCACAGGTGACACAGCCACGATTATTCAGTTCCAATACAAGCAAAGGATACTGGCCAGGATTTACGGAACAGATTTCAGTCGGACACAGTTCTCCCATTTTGTCTAGATGATAGCTTAATTGAATGACGCGTATTTATTTAGACTTGGCAGTGACATCTTGAACTATCAAAGTGTGCAAAAGTTTTCTGGTCATTGAGTATATAGAAGACTTAGAATAATAGCAATTAAGGGGAACCAGCTGATCACATCCTGTATCTTCAAACATTTACACAGGTAACTAACTGAATGTAGATGCAAGATACGATTATATTATCATGGAAGTTATATCACAATAAAACAGCTATTTGAAGCCATTGATGGGGATTCCTTCAGAAGTATTAGCCATCGAAAATAAATGAATGCTTAAAACGTAACCGAAAACGTATCCAATAGCATCTCCTAGCCTGCCTCCTAAACAACAATCCTTGGAAGGCACATGCTTACTGAAAGTATTTCAAGTTTCACGGGCTCCATAATAAGCAAGCAATAGTACTCACATGCCAAGGAATGGTATTCCATATAACACCCCAGCAATTCTTACGGTTATAAGCACGAAAATTGGACACCGTGGTAGAATATAATTTATGCAATCTGGAGCAATGTTTAAACATTTTCTTCATGAATAAACTCCTCACTGGTGATCCTCTTATTGCCAGGCCTTGAAGCTAAAACTTACTAAGATTTATATTCTTTCCACTTGAAACTGACTTGGGACTCGATAAGTAATTGTGTATTTTTGTTGGTTTTCGTTGTTGCTCGGCTACACTTCTGCACTTTTTTAAAATGAGTGGCTACACGCTCGATTCATCAAGCACTAATTTTACTAAAATATCGCAGGACGCTGTGTCTTTACTCAGAAATATATGTAATTCTGATAATTTAGTGTCATTAACATTTTATATTTAGATGCAGCCGTAAAAACCGGCAACTTTCGTTCTGTTTGTAAAGACGACGTTAGTAGCGTTAAGTCACTATTAAGTGACCTGAAATCGTTGGCAAGTCTATTTGCAATCATATATTTTTCTTTAGAACAAGATGAGGTGTTGTGCATATCAGGTTCTTGAAACAGAATCCATTAAAGTGGCCGCTTTGAGGTCGAAGCTCCAGCAGTTTAAAAAACAAAAGGTGAAAGAGATCTTCGGTAAAATGCAGTTTAAATTTCATTACGTTAGTTTTTAAGATAAAAGAAACCTTGTTAGAATGTTAAATGAGAATGAGTTTCATAGTCTCCAAGAATCTCTCAACTCAATTAAATGTACTTACGAAAAGGGTGAATTTGATGTCCGACAGCTTACACACACTCTTGAATTGTTACGGTTAGTCACTAAATGAGTTCATTCTTTTCATTTCGAAAGACGTACTAGGGGGCTATATTTATGTTAGGTGATAACTTATAATTAACTTATAAGTTGGCAATTTTTTCATGTAGAAATTTAAAAATGATTGTTAGTATTTCTCTGCTATCAGCTGTTTTTAGATGCTTAAGGCCTGGTGTATGTCATAGCACTTTTGAATGTATTAACAAACTTGGTTATAAACTGGCTTTGTATACCATTTGATATTTACTATTCGGCTTACCGGAATATTTGATATTTTGTCATTGAGTTACAGAACCGAATTGATAAATTATTGTTGGCATACAAAATCCTTTTAAGGGCTTTTCGATGTGAATACTTAGTTGTAGCCAACTAAGAACCAAGAAGGTGGGCTTCGTTTTATGTAACACCATTTGTTTGGTGTTACAGTTCTTACATCTCCACATTCTCTTTAATATCGAAGTCCCATTCGACATGAGTATCGGTAAGAGCCGTCATGTCGAGACCGATTGGCTTCCCTTATTATTATTATTATTATTATTATTATTATTATTATTATTACTGTCATTATATTATTGTTCCCTTGAGTTCCGATTGGAACAGAGAGCTTCAACAGGAAACCACTTTATCTGATTTTTTGCAGTCCTCTTTAAATGGCTCCGCGATTGCCCGTAGTCTGCTACATCCTCCCCACACGATCCCCTTCATATTGCCGTCGGACGTCCAACTGATTGTTTCCCTTTCAGGTTCTCTTCTAGAGATGATCTGGAGCGTGGTGTCACCCGATGTTCTTCCTAGCGTACGCCCTATCTATCTCCATTTTCCTCTACTTAATTGTTGAGCAATAGGCTATTGGTTGGTTCGTTATCAGAGTATCTTGCTGCTAATTCTTTCCTGCCATAGGATCTTCTGCTAGCTCCTTAGTTTTCCAGCTGGCTTCAATCTCGGGAAACAAGGGAGGGTTGAGGTGGGGCTAACGTCACTACCACGGAAAATCAATCCAGTCGCTACGGAAGCTTCAGGGCACAACAAAATCATGGAAACAAACCTCATTTAGTTGACAGGAATACTACCTTATAGCTGAGATACATATAGCTGAAGAGCTCCAAGCTTAATAGCATGCAGTATTGTATATTGTATATTACACCTATCCAATGTCAAGTATGTATGTAGTTTTCAAGGTTTTTTTTGTAGGTTTCTTATGGAATCTAGCTTTGACCATGAAATAACATTAGTTGTAGAACCACTGGAAAGTCAGAGAGTTCTGGAAAGATGCTTTGTCCTGGTTTGAGATGCTTAAGCAGTAAACACCCACGATCCCATTGGACAGCTGACCCAGGACCTGGTTACGAGGTTAGTACCTTGGCCATTCAGTTAATGGGATAGAGTCTAATGGCCGATATTTGAAATGCATCACCATTATTACAACACCGTTGCCAGTCAGTACCACTGATCAGTGTTTATTCCCACATCCTATCTGTTAGACACAGCTTATCACGACTTCTTATTGAAACTCTCACTATGGGATGGAGTTTTACTAAGAATTTGCGACCAGTGGGATTCATAGGGTCGAATAAAAGGATAAATACTCACCGATAATATTGACCAGCAGTGGCGAATCGGTAGAATTAAAATATATGGACAGGCCGTTGGATTTCGTCTGAAGCGCCAAACTTAACTTGGTGGTTCTGGGTTTGATCCCCGCTTGGATCATTAGTGACGGGCTGATTGAGTTTTTCACGTAGAGCTTTGCGCAGAAGTGTAGCAATTCATCTTACCACAATCCATGTAATACAGGTAGAGAAAAATGGGAATTATAATGAGGTAAAATGTAAGAGAGAAAGAATGAATGCACAGAGAAACATGATGGTTTAAAGAATCTGAGAGATTACAAATTCGTCTGCGCTATTGAGAAAGACTTCGAACCTTATCACCTGTAGTCTCAAGTCATTAGTTTTTTAGCATATGGAAGACCCCGACCAAGTATTCTACATCTCTCCACGTGGTCTGCTCAAACCTACAATCAAAGATTTCAGGAAATGAACGCATTCAATGGCTTTACCATCTGTATCTTTGTCAATTTAATTCCATGTCAGTGAACTTCGCTGGACGAGAGGAATCGATGGAGTGGAATGTGTTGCAAGTGTCCTAACCATCTCACGATTTCACAATGCCATCGACTGACCGTCTCTCCTTACCTAACACCCTACACCTAACATCAGCATTACTCAGCATATTATACCACTTAAGATGGGAGATAGAACTCAGACACCTATGGTCGACAACACCTAACCAGCCTCTTCTCTTCATATCCTTATATCCACTTTCAATGGCCATGTCTCACAGGCTGAAAAAGAAGGAGAGAACGAAATGCTAGTCAGCAGACACGTGCTTTCTTCCATAGAGGGATATCACGCATATCTAGGCGAGAGACGATGTAGATTGGCGAAGGCCAGAGGAGCCTTTTCTATCAGTGGTGAGCTTTCGTCAGCAATCAGTCAGGCAGTCAGTAAGTCAGTCAGTCAGTCAGTGCGTGAGGTGTGATGCAACTTGACAAGTTAGTGAAGTGGTCAGTCAACAGGCTGAACCACTTCACTGTCTATCTTTAAACTAGGAGTCGGTGCAGACCAGTCCTGAAACATCATCTCACATTTCACAGAGGCGAGTCTCACGACGAACACACGAAGATTTCCGCTCAACGTGTTCACAAGACAAACTAGGATGAATGCAGATGGACGGGTTAACTAGGAAGAATAGTATAAAGATTAGTAGGTGTTCACACAATGCTGGCTGACCACTTCACTGTCCATCTTTAAACTAGGAGCCAGTGAAGACCAGTCTTGCAACTTCATATTATACGTGACTTGGATGGATTCTTTACCAAATATACCAGTATTTCCGTGCGGGTTTTTTAGAAGACCCTGCATGTTTACAGTACCTTTACCTATAGGGGGGCAATTTAGCTTGCATTCTCTAAATTGATGAAACTCTTTCGTGAAATCAAGTCAATTTCTGTGTCTCATTTACAGCCAGAAGCCTAAAGTCTTCATCCTACTCAAGTAGGTTTTGGATGCTGGTTAAATGTGGTGTGGCTTTAGGCCAGTCAAGCTGCACCTCAAAGTACTACTTCTTAAGCTGCAGTCTTTCATCTTGAGAAGTGATTAAGGTATATTTCCTCTTAGAAACTGTTTCGTTTATAACTGGCCTTTTACAATCCATTTTATTTGTGTCCGAATATCTGTCTGTTTTTATCTAATGCCATTGCCTTTCTTATCTGCTTAGTTTGTGGGCGTATGTTACGAAGTAGTTCCGAAGTGAGAGGAAACATCTGTTCATACTCATTGGTTTTAAGAAGTTCTTTTACTGATGTCACTTTGTGACCTAAATTGAAATACAGAGATTCCTCAGTGCATTTATCAATGTGCGAAATAAACTTATTTCTCATACTGCTTCATAAAATTAAGATTTAATTCTTGCTTTTTAATATTTTTAATTTCTTGACTGTCTTGATGTATAAAGGTGAATTTCGGTGACGCAGTACTCTATTTTGTCTTTATGTGCCAATAACCACTACGATTATTGTATGTCATAAGCAGAAACAAGTAGATCTCAGTACTTTTGTCATATTTAAATGATATTAAAGTGGAATGAATATGAAACGCAGTTGCATCTCTGCCTTTGATCAAACAAAAGTTGTATTAACTCAGGATTTTGACCACAAGACCAAATAACTTACTTTAGCTTACATAAGTCAGACCAACAGTTAGTGGGTTGCACTTATCACTATTATAATCCAGTCTTACTTGTGCACTTTGAGATAGATAGTTATGAACATGCGTACCACAGCTCTAAAGCACCCCAGGCTATACAGGTCTATCAATTTCTTGGCTAATATAGCGTTAGCGTGCTTCCACAAAACACAGGCATTATTGAACTGCCAGTGACAGATCACCTACTTTCAGTGGTTATGCCTCGCAGCAATTGAGTGAGTCGGTCCACACTGGTGTAGACCACACTGAATTCTTCAGGGTTGATAGGATCCCACACACTTGTTATTGTTCAATTATCTTAACGACTGTTAATCTCGTATAAGTTGTATATTATCATTTCTCACGCATATTGTTATTGTTCAATTATCTTAACGACTGTTAATCTCGTATAAGTTGTATATCATCAATTCTCACACACTTTGCTATTGTCAATTATCTTAATGACTGTTAATCTCGCATATGTGGTATATCATCATTCCCACGCATTTTGTTATTGACTATTACGACCAATTATTTCAAATACTGTTAGCTGTCTCTATTGGTTGTAAAATTGTATAAATACCATTTCCTAAATAAGTTTATTTGTCGTTGTTGTAGTCGTCGTCGTTGTTGTCGTAGTCGTAGTGTTGTACTACAATACACAGTCACAGACCAGACTTTGTCTTTTGATATTTGCGTGGTTCGCTGAGTCGGAAGGTACCAGAAGCAGATAGGCATATTAGTCAGGCGCAGACAGAACAAGGCAACAACGTTCCTCATTTAATTCCGTCCATGGTTATAACAATTGGCGACGGGGTTTTACTTTAATTCACTGCAGTTATAACAAGCAAGCGACGACGTGTTTTATTCTGTTCAGCGCATCTATAGAACATTTTTGACTGTGTTAATTACAACCCAATTACAATGTCTATCTCTCTGGACGATCTCAAATCCATCTTGCAGCAGCAGCAACTTCAGAATGAAGCAGCTCAACTTAAATTAATCGAAGCTCTCACTCAGAAGCTGTCAATTCAAGTCCCATCAACATCTCATTCAGAAAAATACGAAAGCATCTCAAATTCCATCAGTGAATTCAACTACGACCCAATATCTGGTCTCCTATTTGATGCATGGTTCAATCGTTATGAAGACGTTTTTCGTATTGAATGCCACATGTTTGATGATGCTGCCAAAGTCCGATTGTTACTACGAAAACTTGGTACTGTTGAGCACAACAGATATGTTAACTTC